CTATGTTTTTCCCTATGAATACGAGCCTAAATTTCTTGCGATTTAATTTCAACTGAATTTGAATTTTATATATTTTAAGTAAATATCTTATGTACTTTTTATGCAAAATATATGTTCATTGTTTTTTATTCTAATCAATATTTTTATTTTTATTATTAATATACGAATATGTATATTTATTTTAATATTTTCAAATAACGGAATAATTTCTATTTTTTACTTATGCATTTATTTTTATTTAAAAAAAATTATAAAAAAGTTTTTCTACCATATGTACAACCAAATATAATTATAATTATTTACTTTTTTCCCTCTCTAAACTTCTGCAATGTATGGTCTCTTATTTCAATATTTATATTTTACTTCTATGTACGTTTTACTCCTTTCATTTTTGTTTTATTCACACTGTACTCTTATTTATAATCTTTTAATTCTATATTATATGTATATGTATATATTTATAATTTAATATTTCATAGATATAGTATTTTTCCCCTTGCATCCATCCATATCTTCAAATTTTAGATACTGTAATTTTCTAGGTTTTTTCCCATTACCCAAACAAGTCAGAAAATTCCCCAATACCTGTCCTTACCCTGGTTTTCCAGTTCTAATTGAAACTCCTAGCTGAACACACCTGTAAGTCTCTAATTTTATTTACTTATTAATTTAATTTTTTGGTATTCTTATTTCTTTTCTTTCCCCACATTCCTTTATGTCTATTATTTCATATTATATACTTTTTGCTTTTCTTTCAATATCTCCTGGGGATCTGTAGAAGTATATTCACATTTACATATATTATATTACACTACAACAATTATTACCATCTATTTACTTCAGTTTAGAATCTTGTTACTTAGCTTATTGTGTTTTTATTTTAATATACTTACTGTTTATAATTTTAATAAGCTTATTCACATTGTTTATAATTTTTTGTCTAAATATTATGTATTTCCTTTCCAAGACCCTAAGAACCAAAAATCCTCCCTATATAATGGAACTCCTTATCCTACATTCCTCTATCCACTCTCTTAACAGATCTCAACCTATAGATTTATATATCCCTTCTCATAAAAATGCATCCTTCAGCGAATTCTTCGTTATTCGTGCTACCTCCTTCTGGAATTCTTTACCTATCACTAATACTGCAATCCTCATCCATAAATTCCTTCAAACAACTCTTATTCTACCACCAACTTCATTTTCAAACTGCCGCACCTATGTGATACTTATCGGATTCTGTAATTACTACTGCTCACTAACAATTAATCGACAAGTTCCATTTGATTTGATTTTGTTTATTTATTTACTTTTTCTTTGTATACATGTAGAATATATTTATTTTTATTTTTTATTTCTTAATGATATTTACAACTGTATTAAAGAAATACGTTTATTAAATTTGAACATATGTATATAATGACGTGAGAACACTCCTTGAGAAACTACCCACTGGTAGCACTCTAATGATATGTCTACATTAGATCACGGAGCCATCTTCTTTTCAGACGCCTCGGAGGGTTATCAGGAATTGAAGAGGAAGTAAGAAGGTTGGGAGAGGGTTGGGGTGATTCTGAAGTTTATTATGGAAGGACAGGTATCTGGATTGGGCCAGATCTGAAACAAAAGAAACATTAAGGTCATTATGGATGGTTTTATTTGTAATAAAGTAGGGAGCATTGAGGATTTTACGAAGGATTTTGGTTTATAAGGATTGGATACGAGAGGAATTCCATGGTTTAGTGGTGTCATGTATATGATTCTTTTGTAATTAATTGGAAGTTCACAGCGTTTGTCTAGTAAGTGCTGAAGTAATCGGAAACGTAGAGCGGTTTCTTGTCTTTTCAGTCTGGTAGTAACCTATATAAAATGTAATAGTATTACTTAGTTTACTACTGGTGAAGTATGATTTCGATAGGAATTGAAATTAAAATTCAAATGATCTCTTTGTATTTTGTCAAACTGGACAAACGGACCAATGTTTTGCACCGTGTTATTATTATTCTTACGGGAATTTAGTTCCAGAATAAAAATAATTTTTTTGTTTCATTTCATTTTTTTCATTAGTTATTGTATGTGTGACCGATTTAAGAATAAATAATTTTTTTTTAAATGATAATAATATGCAAGCACAAATTCTTTTTACAAGGCTGAAAAGAATAAGAAATCGAGGAATCTAGTAATTTTTTTTTAATAGATAATCAAGTATTGATTTTTTTTTTTATGTATGATTTGATGGAAATAGGCTCTGCACTATTTAAATGATAATTATGGTGGAAAATAGGATGTAGCTAGATGAATAATTTCAGTTGGGCCGATGGTTATGTGCACTTAAAACTGTAACCCCCAACGACGCATACATAAATAATTCTGGTAGCACTACTTCGCAAAGTTTCGCGTTACGCGTTAAGGACAGCCGTTAATACGCCCTGATATATAGATAAAGCCTTCCTCGCCTCGTATGAAATTGCTCCCACATTTATTTCGGCCCAGCACTTTACTAATTACCCAATTAACTTAAACCAACTTACCACAACTCTGCTTAATCTTGAGGAAGGCCTAAGAGTTAGGTGTTTGTTTTTGAATAGGAGCCTCTCGGAGCCTTGTATGGTAATATTAATATTTTCGTCTCTTGAGTAATTCATTACTTTAAATACATTCTATTTATTCATCTCAGGATATGACTCAACAGCTTCATTTGCAAGTAATGCATGTTTGACATTCTAATTCATTGGTCTAATGCTGAGATTCCACAAAAGTTTATAAGCTATAACCAATCACGTATTTTATTACTTTCACTTATATGTAATATATAGTAAGGGAAAGTAATGCGATCGTGAAAATTTTCGAATCTGAGTTTTCAACGGAAATACACGTTTTGACGTCTCTTGAACTTAAATAATCAAGTCCCTCAAAATGGTCTTTGTGTATGATAACAGTCTAGCTCAAAAACGAAAAGTCTTACATATTTAATTCAAACTGATATTACGTATTTAATATAGGTATATGCCTTAGATGTGACAGCAATTTTTTCCTTAAAATTGCCTAACCGGAAGTGCCACTTTATATCAACAATGATACACATTTTTACAATTTTCTCAAAAACGGCTCTCTAATAGCTTATTTATTGAAATATATTACAATCTGTCTCAGGGACATTAATAATAGTGTTCACAGATCACATTCACACTCTATGTACACTAAATAAAATAAATTATACAGAAAAATAATATAAATACAATAAACAAGAACAAAATAACCTAAAAATAAATAAATAAAAAGAACACATGCACACCTATATACAATATTTACAACTTGGCGAGAGAACTCCAAACCAGACTTGTCCCTCCAACTGTGGAGGGAAAAGTATGACTCCAGGAGTTCCCTGCACTCCTCTCTCAACCGCGTCACTAGGGCTAAACCCAGTGGAGATTGAGCAAGAGTGCTTTAGCCACATACACTCATGTCGTGAGTGGAGAATCTGGCCATTGGCAGAACTCCAATATTTACAAACTATAAAAGATCGCGGGGCCACTGCCGTTTTAACCTCCTTGGAGGATTATATGGATGGGTGGTGCTGGATAGAGATTTTGCAAAGGGATTTGGCTCTAACAATTTTTATTAAACTTGGTGTATCATTCTATAATTAAGTGGTATTTAATATTATTTAGATCTTATCCCCATTGATGTCTCTTTAGAGGGCTTAATTGCCCAATTTTCATATACGTCTTTTTTCTAAAGTACCTTTAATATGGTTTATTTCAAGAAAAATAACTCCCTTTAATTGTCAGTAACTATAAAAAAATGGCTTAATATGAAGTTTGAAAGAATATGATAATTGGAAACTGGAGAAAAAAAGAAAAATGCTTATCCAGGTTGAAAATGAATCTCCGGAAATAACATTCAGAAACAGTATATGTACAATGTATCGTTGGAAAGCGGAGAATTTTAGAAAAAAATAATATCAAATAAATAAAGTTGTAGAAGGTAACGGTGAGTGATAAAAAAAAAATAACTGTTTCAGAAAATTAAAATTATTTAACGTAAATCACATGTTTCCAAGGAAATTAAATGAAATTTTCTTACTAAATGTAAACTTTAACATTTTTTTTTAAGATTTAAAAAAGTATTTAAAATCCACCGAATCAAGTCAATGCTATTGCTTAAAATACTATTTCATTGTACTATTGTTAGAGAAGAAGTGAAATACAAAAATATTTCAGGGATATGTTTATAATCTTAAATACATATACTGTAATCATTTAAATAATTAGTTATCTATTGGCCACCAAAACACCAAAAACCATCAAGTAACCTTTTAGAAAATTAAATAAGTGAATAATTTGATAAATTTTCCCTTTTTGAAATCCCATTATTATCCACTTACAATTAGTGTAACAACTTTTGGCCTATTCATGGCAGGCAATGAAAATCTCGTAATTTCATTTTGGTAAACTTTACAATGAAAAATAACGGTTTAATTACTGATAGGCCTACAATCCATAATCATTTATAGGTTAAATATTTATATATACAATACTTTAAAATTTCTCTAAGCATATATGAGCTTTTCGGTTGACAGAATGACTAACTCCAATTTGAACATTTTTGAGTTTAAGATAAAGCTCCGTTAAAAGTGTGCTTGAAAAATTTTATAATAACCCAACACTGCCAGGAAATAATTTCTATTCAAAGTAGAACGGTTAGTGAAAGTTGTATGTTGCGCGCACTGCATTTTTTTTTTTTTTTTTTTTTCGTTCTACTCTACTGTTCACGAATAAAACTGTTATTCATTCAAATTTAACGGTTTTAAATCTGGGATATGGTATAAGAATGTGAACTTAACGCTTCCTTCCTTCTAGATTACCATATGGAATAAAATTAGAAATTATTTCTGTCATCCACAACAATGCACAATAGAATCGCGAATGACGGTACAGTAGTGGACTGTGTATAAATTCTATTGCGCTTCTAGTCAGTGTGTACACTTTAACTATGTCGCTTCTACAAGTCTTTATTTTATTTTTCTCTCTCCATCTTCCTGCTATCTCTGTAAGTATTCATTCACACTAATATATCATTCGATATATTATAGAAAATGTTTTATTAGAGAGACCATTTAACTTCAACTTTTGAGCTATGGGGCACCACTAAACCATCGAATTCCTCTCGCATCCAATCCTTACAATCCAAAATCCTTCGTAAAATCCTCAATGCTCCTTACTTTGTCACTAATAAAATTATCCATAAAGATCTTAATGTTCCTTATGTTTCAGATCTGGCCCAATCGAGATACCTATCCTTCCATAATAAACTTCAGAATCATCCCAACCCTCTCGTTTCTAACCTTGCTTCCTCTTCAATTCCTAATAACTCTCCGAGGCGTCTGAAAAGAAGATGGCCCCGTGATCTCCTAATGTATTCATATCATTAGAGTGCTACCATTGGGTAGTTACTCAGCAAGTGTATTCATGTCATTATATCTATTATGTCCAAAGTTACTTGATGTATTTATGTAATACAGCTGTAAATATCATTAAGAAATAAATAAAAAATAAAAAACTTCGACTTTAGGTTCCTGAAAACATGTAGGTTGATTCTGTCATGTTTAATGCCGTAAAACCAGAAAGTCCGTGATACAGAAACCTTTTTATCCAATTATTAACATCCATTTAAAACATCGTGAATGACTTTATCTTAACGTAACCAACAGTTTTTTTATTTACAAATTTATAAAATGTACTGCTATGTTTAAAATTCGTAAACGAGATCAATCTTAATAACAAGGATAAGGTATCTGTGAGTATATTTAAAATCATTCAAAATTTTCAATTTGTACATAGATATGACACGAGTTTTACTTTTATCTGGGAAAAAAAATAAAGAACAAATTTAAAATATATACATTTTTAATTGTTAATTTATAATTATTATTAATTTCTCACCAATTGCAGTCTTACTACTAAAAATTTAGTTCCTCAAGGTATCATACAGTTCTGTATCAGATAAACCATCACTTGAAACGAAAAAAAAAACTTTTATTTTTAAAAAGTATCATTGGATTTTTTATTGTCAATAGTTTTTGAGTTCTTTTGGAATAGAACATTTTTCCCTTGTAAATTTTCAACTTTTTTTTTTTTAATTTATTTAAAAGTTCTATTCAAACTAACGACACATTAGAATCACGTGTCAATTCGTTTAAAACAAATCATAAATCTAATCTAAGTCCAATTACTATTTGCTTTTACATCTAACGGATATTTGTTTTTAAGAACTTGAATATATCAAAGTTAAACTTTTACCAAAAAACTGGAACTTTAATACGAAAAGGTTCTTTAGAAAATTTATTCTAAAAGGTTTCCAAGGAACTGTGAAAATTGAACTTTTTTTCAATTTTTTGTAAAAGTTCCATAACATTTTCAACCCCTAAGATAAACCCGTAATTAATATTTGATTTGCAAATTTGGCGCCACATGGTTTTTGAAAATAGACTTTTTTCGGGGGAAAAAAAAAATGAAAATCGCGATCTGTAAGCCATGTATCATAATCACAATTAAATTTGTTATAAAATATATACAGTAGAACCAAGCTTAACCGGCTCTCCGGATTTACCGTAATAGTAAAAGGGTAAAACATAAACAAATTAAAATTGTTTCTCTTCTTGGCTAGTTTCAGCTAGCTATTATTGAAAGATGTTTTCCATCCTCGTACTCTACCTCATAAATCCTCATACTTGAAATGTAATGATATAATAATGTGTTAATAAAAGTAAATAGAAAAAAAAATAATGAATATAAAGCTTGAAGGTGTATAAAAAATTCTTACCCCAGAAAGTAATTAGTTTGTTAATTATTAATTAATTAATTATTAACCACACAAACTCTATAAATTAATTTTCCTGGGCACTTTATGTTAATTTGACCAAATATTAGAGTTTTACTGTAATAAACCTTGGATTATTAACATGCTCAGATTTCTTTTTAAACATACATGTCTAGATTCCGACCAGTAGAGAAAAGTTTTTTTTTATTTGTTTATTTAGAAATATTACATTCTGTCACATCAAGGACATAAATTAATTACTGATTAATTAAGTCTAGATTCCGACCAGTAGAGAAAAGTGAGTTTATGTTGTGCTTTGTAAAATGTATACCGTTGATGTATTAAGCGAAACTCTAAGATGTTCAATCCCCCCTCCCTCCCAAAAAAAAAAAGAAATTGTTATAATTTTATAAAAGAAAGTCATGATTTTGTAAGAAGATTGAAGATTGAGAGTTCATTTCGTGCTACTAAACACCAGAAACTCATTACATGAAATTGTTTTCTTTTTTTAACTACTTTTCTTTTTTTTAAATTAGAATCAATATTTTTTTTAATAAGGATTAAATATGTAGTGATCTATATACAACATGATGGAAAAATATGATGAAGTACCTGATATATATTCTCAAAGAATAAGAAGCTAATGAAAAAATTTATAAAACTTAAATGTTATTTTAGTTTTATTTATAATTTTTTTTAACATCTAATTATTAATAACAGAAAATGTTCAGATAAAATACAAAGATGTAGTAATTTATATATCATTTTTTTAATGCGAATAAATTTAATCTGTTAAGAATTAATTGCAATTTTATCTATTTCGTCATTGCCATTTGGTTCAATGTTTAATTTAAAATATAACAAAAAGACACACTAATTTATATATCACGTAAAACTATATACATCTTTATTTGATGGCATGTAATATTTTCATTTCATATAAACACTGCTTCAAAAATAAACTCATAAAAGTATTTCAATTTACGAAATAAAATTACCTTGAAATTACAGACGCAGGTTGACGCAGCTGGAATGTGTTTTAATATCTTATAATTAATCTTGTCTTAATAAAAAAATAAATTTTGAACGTGCGGTAAGCAATTTTCGTTGGAAGTCAAACATTGTTCCATGATCGGATTTGAAAGTCTCGTTACAAATTTAAAAAATCAATATTTTACCGATTAAAATAGATTTTTCCAATAGATATCAATTTTCAGTCTTTCAACCCCTGTGCGCCATGATATATTAGTAAAAAAAAATATATTCGTTCAATTTAATTTCTATGTTTTTTTAGGTGGAGAATGATGGAATGGAGATCTATCATAAAGGGCTTAATCAGTACCCTTCTCTCTTGTACCTTGATGGTCGGGGTTCAGAATTGCACCAGTCTCAAATCCGCGATAGTATAGACAGTGACGATATCGACCAGATCGTCCAAAATATTAACTCATATATTGAACTTCGTAAATTTTCTGTTAATTTGGACTATGAATCTACATTAAATTTATTGTTATCGAAGAACAGAAACGTGAATATTAACAACTGGAGTGGTAAAAGTGCCTTGCATTTAGCAGTAGCTATAAAGAACAAAAACATAACCAAAGCTCTTCTTAGAAACGGAGCTAATGCCAATACGCAAGACAAATTCGGGAACACACCTTTGACGACCGCTGTTTGGAACGGTGATGAATCAATTGTAAATTTATTGTTGTCAAACAACGCAAGCGTGAATACTCAGTATGACTTGTTAGCATTCACTATCTTGCATTTAGCAGTAATTAAAAGGAACCAGAAAATAGTCAAAGCTCTTCTTAACAACGGAGCTAAGATCGATCACCAGGGATATTTCAGAATGACACCTTTGATGATCGCTGTTTGGAATGATGATGAAGGTATGGTAAATTTATTATTGACGAATAATGCAAGTGTGGATTTAAAGAACAATAATGGTAATACAGCCTTGCATTTAGCAATAATTAAAAACAACATAAACATAGCTAAATCTCTTATTAATAGCGGAGCTGATGTCAATGTCCAGGGAAAAAACCTGATGACGCCTTTGTTGACCGCCGTTTGGAATGGCGATGAAGCTATTGTAAATTTATTGTTGTCAAAGAAAGCAAGTGCTGATTTAAAGAACCGGATTGGTATCACCCCCTTCTATTTATCAATAATTAAAAAAAACATGAACATGGCCAAAGCTCTTATTAGTAGCGGAGCAAACGTCAATGTCCAGGGATATGACGGGATGACACCTTTGATGACCGCAGCTTCCAATGGCGAAGAAGCTCTAGTGAATTTACTTATTTCAAAAAATGCTTCTTTAGAAATAAAAAACGCTTTTGGTAACGCTGCAATACACTTTGCGGCTTGGAGTGGAAACATTAAAGTCATTAAGATGCTTCTTGGTCATGGAGCGGATGTTAATAGTAAAGGAGAAAATGGTGAGACACCTCTACACTCTGCAGTTCGGAAGAGCAACAAAAATTTGAAACACAGGAAGAAGCCGCTATCTTTAAAAGGGCTGAACGTCTTGGTAATGCAGATTCTCTTGGAACACGGGGCCGAAATAAATTCGCAAAATTATCTTGAGCAAACAGCGCTCCATGAAGCTGCAGCTTTAGGCGACGCTCCAATCGTTGACTACCTGCTATCCCAGAACGCCAGCTTCAATATCCAAGATTACGTTTGTTTTACGCCACTCCAGTGGGCAGCTAATAATGGGAATGTTGATGTGATAAAGAGCTTGTTGGCGCACGGGGATGATGTAAACAGAAAAGGATGCAATGGTGTCACAGCCTTACACCTAGCAATCAGAAGAAATGACACTAATTTTATTAAATTTCTCCTCTCAAAGAATGCTGACACGAACGCGATGAGCGAAGATGGGCGAACGCCTTTAGATTTAGCTTTCAATCCTCTATCTAAAGAAATTATAAAATTACTTCTTTCTCATGGAGCCCGAGTGGAAGACAATAGCTACTTAGGATCGAAAATTCTATTCGATGCTGTTTCTAATAAATCAATAGAAATAACAAGTCTTCTGTTGGATAATATTAGAAATTTCAACGCCTATCCCACAGTCATTCTTAACCATGCCATTGTAACAGGGTTTTCAGAAGGATTCAATATGCTAATCTCTCATGGAGCAAACATTGTAGATAAAGACATCCATGGCAATCTTCCCCTTACTTTAGCAGTTATGTCAAGAAGTGCTGAGTTCATTAAATTAATTTTAGAAACAGGATCGAATAAAATCGATAAGAAGAATTTTCACAACTTTTTAGATGCAGATTGTGAAGTAAAACTTTTTAAAAAACGGAACGACGTTCTACAGATCCGTAATGCGACGGCACTCCACGTTGCATCCTATTACGGTCTCAAGGATCTTGTCAGTCCGTTGATATCATACGGTGCTTCATTAGATGTTGGAGATGAACGAAGATATTCCCCACTCCACTATGCCATCGATAATGACCACGTAGAAGTTGTGAAAGTGCTTTTGGATTCTGGAAGCAATAAAAGTGCTGCCGATATGAACGCCACTACTCCGTTACATATCGCCAGCAAAAAAGGCCTTATCCCAATTGTTAAATTACTACTTTCCGACCCACCGGCTCCCATAGACCAGGCTGACAACAATGGATACACACCTCTTCATTTTGCGGCTATGAACGGATCTCTAGAAATAGCTAAGTTGTTACTGAATCTTAATGCCGATAAAGAAGCTAGGACTATTGATTTCAAAACTCCACTACACTTGGCTTCACGTGAGGGACATGAGGAAATAATTAAAATCTTATTGAGGGCAGGAGCTGAAAAAGATGCATCTGACGTTGATGGTATGACGCCACTACATTTTGCCTCGAGAGAAAAGCACTTGAAAGCAGTTGAGAAGTTGGTTTTTTCAAATGCTTACGTCAATAGCAGAAACAAAAACGGGAGCACACCATTGCATCTGGCGTGTGAACGGAGCACCAAACCCGTAGGTGAAATAATAGCTATTGTTTACAATCTTAAAATATTCAATGCAGATCTCAATGCGAAGGACAATAACCTAATGACTCCATTACATATTGCATCGATAGACAACTCCTCAGAAGTCATTGAGCTCATTGTAGAAGAAGGAGCTGATCGATTTAGTCGGGACGTGTTCCTCAACTTGCCTATCCATTACGCCGCATTATTCGGCCATTATAATGCAATAATTAAGTTATTTCAGATAGATAACATTTTCGGTCTATTTATACGTGACTTCAGTCACAGTATATCTGTGAATATTAATAAAGAAACCCCTTTGTTCTTAGCCGCGAGGGAAGGGCACACTAGGGTGGTGGCTTTGCTCTTGCAGGTCGGAGTCGAAAGTATTCAGCCTGACACCAAAGCAAGAACTGCTTTGCATCGCAGCGCTGCCAGAGGTCACTTGGAAGTAGTAAAACTCCTTCGCCAATCCCTTTTAAATATAGAAAAGAAAGATAAGTGGGGATTTACAGCATTGAACTACGCTGCTTCTTGGAAAGGACACCAGGATGTTATAGGAAGCCTTTCGACAAATCAATCAGACATCACATTATCATATTATTTAAAGAAATCAAATCCTTCGGGAAAAAATTTGGACAAGCAAACCCAAATACAGGTAAAAAAATTAGCTGGTATAACGCTAGGAATACCTTATTCTTTTAATCTAAACACAGGAAAGTTCCAGTACATTTATTCACCTTAAAATATGTAAAAAAAAAAAAAAAAAAAAAATTAAATAAAATAAATTTTCATTTTTTTTGTTATTATAGTTTTCTATTTCATAATTACCTACCGTAAAATTATACTCCTTTTTAATGTCTTCTCATGTTCTCTTTCCCTAATAGACAACCTTGGCCGAAAGAGAGTAAAAAGAGGGGAGGGTTCGCTCTCTCCCCAATAAAAATAAAGATAGGGCGAGAATATATGTTCACCCTCCCTCCCTACCAATATTTCGAAGAAGAAATTTTCATAAATTAAAAAAAAAATAAAATAAAATCAATAACAATTAATATATATGAATGAATAAAATATGTAATCTAAAATAAATTAAGCAAAAAGGAAAAGTTGATTTAGATGGCTGAGGGCTAAAAGTAAGATACTCAAGTATTTTACTAACGACTATGTTCATATTACAGACATTTTAGTTTTTATTCATAGATGATAATATTTAAAGGAAAGAGTTGGTTCGGGGTGGCATTCATAAATAGGCTGAATAGTGGCAAAACTATTTTATTAAAAGCCAACGTTTCGACCCGACTTTGCACGATTTCTTCAGGGCTAGAACGGACAAGATACAAAAAAATAAAGAATTGTGGAAGTTACATAATATTTAGACAAAAAAGTATAAACAATCTGAACAAGCTCATTAAAATTATAAACAATAATTACATTAAAATATAAACAGAATAAGCTAAGTAACAAGATCCTAAAACGAAGTAAATAGATGGTAACAATTGTTGTAGTGTAATATATAATATACGCAAATGTCAGTATACTTCTACAGATCTACAGGATACATTGAAAGAAAAGGAAAAAGGATATAATATGAAATAATAGACATAAGGGGATTATGAGAAAGAAAAGAAAAAAAAAATTAGACTAAATATTATGTAACTTCCACAATTCTCTATCTGTTTGTATCTTGTCCGTTCTGACCCTGGAAAAGACCTTCTAAGCCGGGTCGAAACGTTGGCTTTCAATAAAATAGTTTTGCCACTATTTAGCCTATTTATGACCGCAACCCCGAACCATCTCCTTCCTTTATAATGCAACGGTCAACTATTAAATATTCAATATGATAATACTTAGCTAACAACTTGAAATAACAGTATTTCAAGTTGTTAGATAAATCTGAATTTTTTTTAATTGCGAATTTACCAGTTAGGATCACGCAACAATTTCATTTCCTCTTCCTCCAGTATCCGTCAATAAGGACGCTGTGATGCTCCTTGCATTCATCCGTTCAGACTCTTCCATGTCCAATATGAATACAAATAAATATATAATTTAATAAATTATATGAAATTAACTAATAGAAAAAAGAGATAATCGATAAATTGCAGAATGTTTCCAAAGAAACAATAAAGTATTTTTTTTTTTTTTATAATTCATAAGAAATAACCTGGTACAAGAGACGGATGAAGTTGAGCTGGAGAAGTTGGAGACCAAGTTGTTGCTAATTGTTCCCCAAGTCAGGGTCCTTTGTATACCAGCAACAAACTCCCACATCTTGCAACAATGGCAATCAGTTGATTCTGATGAGGTTCCCTAATCTTGTTCCCTTCCCTCATTATCGCCTCTGGATATGTATTCCACTTGTAGAGCCAACGGTCAAGGCAATAAAATATTTCAATTAAGTTTTATAGGTCAGTTTATTTAATAAACTATGGTTTTAGCGAACCCTAGTTACTTTGGTGGAAACACGTACAATCCTTGGGACTCCAGTTCCTACCTTAGACAATCCTCCCATATCCTCGAATTCATCTATCTACAGCTCGACCTTTATATAATATATATATTAATTGGTACCCCGAGATACTACCATGTCTCTCACCACTACACTGAGTTAGAGTGGCTCTTCCCCTCCATTCGAAGACAATATTTCCTAGGTACATTCCTCTATCATATCATCAACAATCATCGTCCTTCCTACGCCTACAACCTTCTCCAATTCAAGTCCTCGGTCCACTCCCTCTCCACAAGATCTCGACCTTCCGACCTTTACATTCCTTCTCACAGATCAGCCTCGTTCCAAAACTCCTTTATTGCTCGTTCTGTTAGTTTTTGGAATTCCCTTCCTATCAAAATTCGATATTCTTCATCCTTATCTATATTCAAAACCCTCCTATTCCAATTCCTGTCCCAAAAACAGTCAGATACCAGCTAACCTTTTATGTAAAATTACATATTATTTATAATAACATATTCACATATAGTTCATAACCTAAATACTTATTATAGATTCGACTTTCTTTTTTTCTTTTTTCAACAGAAACACAGATTTTACTGTTAAGAAGAATCTACATTTTTTTCTGTATTTTTTATTTTTTCTAAAAGTGTTTATTTATATTTTAACATTGTACATCGTTTTAAGTATCTTAGTTTGGTTTCAAGAATTTTGTATATAGATTTTTTTTTTTTTATTTTGTATATAGTATGTATAACCAATATTTTTTTTTTTTAATGATTAATCTTTATCTTAACTTTTTATGTTTGTTTTTATCTGGCCAGATATAAAATTTTAATTTCTGTACTTTTTTGTTATTCTGAAGGGACTTCGTCCCAGAATAAAATTATTTTTCTATTCTATTCTATTCTATTCTATATACGCTGTCAATTTCTGGAATTCCCTACCTATCGAAATTCGGCATTCCCCCTCCATATCCACATTCAAAACCCTCCTATTCCAATTCCTATCCCAAAAACAGTCAGATGCTTGCTAAACTTTTGATATTAAACATTTCTATTATATCATTCATCATCAAACTATATTATTATTCTATACTGTAAACTTCATTAGGGATATTACAATATTTTCCTGCTCTTTCTTGACGCCACTGAATGCACCTATTGTTTGTTTTTTTATTCGTATATAATTAAATCTGTACCAATAGCTAGAACTAGACAATGATGAGTCTACATATTATTTATTATTTAAATACTCTGACATTTTATATTGTCAGCTTTGTCTTTCCTTTGATAGTAGAAACACACCTCATTTTAAAGAACACAATGTATTTTTTATTATTTTATTTTTCAAAAGTGAATAATTATAATTTTTCCTACTCTACATAGTTTTAAGTTTTTTGTATACAGTTTTTTTTTTGTATATAGCTTGTTTAACTAATATTTTTTATTATTGTTTTATTTTGGCCAGATGTAGCCTTTTAATTATGTTCTATTTTGTTATTCTAAAGGGACTTTGTCCCAGAATAAAGTTATTTTCTATTCTATATATCGAACATCAAGAACCTTGATTTTTTGTTGTTCTTTTTTATTGCAGTTGAGGGGCAAACAACTGCTGATGGTTATTAGTAATTTGATAACTTCACAAATTGATTTATTTGTTTATCTTAAAATGGCTATATTTAAAAAACAATTTTGATTCTTTATTGAGATCCTTACATACATTCATACATATTTGGCACAACAATCCGTTAAAAGGTCTAGACCTCCTCCAAAAATCTCTGCCAGTTGTTTCTGTCTGTTGCTGCAGCTCTCCAGTTCCGAGAGGAGATCGCGTGCATCCTCTATGGCGGAGTCAGCACACCTCACATTTGGTCTACCCTCTCTTCGCCTGCCAAAAAGCTCTTCAGCCACTAGCGGATCCAGGATTTAATTTGGGGGGAGGGACTTCAGCACGAAAGATTTTTTTTTATATATATAACGATAATTAATTTGAAAAAAAAAAAAAAGAAGACAGAAATGAACTACCTATATGAAATAGTGCTTAAGTGATTCTTGAAGTCCTATTGAATGTAATTATACGAACAACAATACTTTAAGAGATAGTTTCTAATATTTTTATCTATAAAACATATTTTACCATTTTGGAGGAGGGGAGCTTCAACCGGAATGCGCTCCCTCCCCATAAATCCGCCTGTGTCTTCAGCCAATGTCCTCTTTGGGATTTCATCCTCCTTCATCCTTGCCATGTGGCCCGACCATAATAATACGAAAAGTAAATTTATATAAACAAAAAGAAACTAAACCAATCAAAAGTAACAACTTAAATACACGCATGCTTTTATAAAATATTCACGAAATTCATTCAATCAGGGAAACTCCGACCCGAGCCTCTTAGAAGGAAAGGAATCTAAAAGATCCCAGAGCCGCATTGCTGGTATTAAAAATTAAAAAAAAATAAATAATTAGAAATTACTATGGAGAAAAAAATTATAAAACACTCACTATAAATATTTAAAAAAAAATCAGTTAGTTGAATTAGACCCATGTTTTTAATTAATTCAATTGTAGTGTTGATACATTATTAATTATGTTTGTTTTTTTTGTTGATATTTACAAATGTATTTAAAAAAAAAATACAACTAGTAAATGTGCACACAGTAATAATACAATCACATGAAAACGCTTGTTGAGAAACTCAACCCAATGGTAGCACTCTAATAATATATTTACATAAGTAGATCACGAGTCCATCTTCTTTTCAGACCCCTCGGAGGGATTAATTATCAGTTTTATATTAATTTATTGTGCATAGATTGTGAATGTGATCTCTGAACGCTATTATAAATATAGTTTGCGACAGATTTTAATATTTTTCAATAAAAAAGTTTAGAAAAAAAAGAATTATTAGTTAAGGCCTTGCAGAGCTCACGAATTACACCTCGACTTTCCATCCAGAGATCCTGAACTAACGGAGATGGTTCACTCAAGTGAAATTTGCACTTTTTTATTTATAAGGGCGATTACAAGCGGTATCTTAAATACTGTATTGAACTATAATTTCATGGGTTGACTAAAAGAGTTATTTCTAGGTCTCATACAGGAATATGAAAATAAATAAGAATATCGCAAGAAGAATATTATTCTGGGACTAGTTACCTTTTAAAACAAAATATAAATCCGGAATATGAATAAACACAGTATGTCCATAGCTTAAATTAAATATTTACAAAATAATTGGTTATATAAAGTAAAAATACAGGTAAAAAATGAAATGATATAGCCTTTATTTACGAAAAAAAAATTATGCACAATACATTTAAATTATTCTTTAAGTGTGAAAAGAACTTAATAAATTGATTATTTTCCTCTTATTTTTTTTCCTTTTTCCTCTCTGCATAAGCCTTCTCTTCCCGGGGTGACTAGCCCTCTATTGGGATGCGAGTTTCGTCCACTTCTTCTTCCAGACATCTCTGTCTCTAGCAGTTTTCTACCAGAGAGGTCCAGCCAACTGCTTAAACGAGTCGCTCCAACTTTTCTTTTGGCGCCCTCTTCTTCTTTTCAGGTCATAAGGAGTCCATTCTAGACCATCTATTATCTTTGCCCCGAAGGAGATACTCAGCCCATTTCCATTTGCTCACTTATATCCGTCTAAGGGTATCTGTGAGTCCTGTTTATTTTTTGATCCAGTCATTTCTCACTCTGTCCTTTTTCTATATTTATATTTAATAAAATAAATTTATTTATTTATTAACATTTTATGAAATTTGCACCTATGCTGCAGCGCATCTAGCAAATCTGATGTATGAACCATTTGTAGCGAATATGCTTGATTATTATTTTATTTTTTTTTTCCTTTTTGTTAATGTAAAAGTAGGTCCCTTGACCATTCTCTTTTCAGTCTGCGTCGATCAGGTAACAGTAAGCAGGAAATAGAAAGGATTAATGGATTGATGTTGTTTAGAATGAATAATGAAATGAACTCTATTTGTTGCGGATGTAGAATTTTACTGTTGTGATGTTTAAGTCGTTTTGTATAGTATTATTCGAAATGTACCAAGGTGCGTTGACAATTTTTCGTAGAATTTTCGAATGTGTTTCTTGTTTTTTATTTATGTGTGTTTGTTTTTCCGAACCCCTAAGTTCTGCTCCGTATGTCCAAA